TTTATTTAAAAAAAATATATAAAAAAAAGGAAGGGGTTGTAGAGCTATTAGTGCTCTACAACCCCGTTGTTTTTTGTTTTTTTGTTTCGTCCTCTGATACAAAGTGCAAATATGCGGTAATGTACTTTAAAGATATTACATTTTTTTGTCGAACAGGGAAAATCCCTAAACACCAAATTTGTTGAAACCTCGAAACACTGGAAAAACATGCCCGTTAGACTAACAAACAATGGTGAGCTTTGTCGATTTCATCCGGTTACTGCAAAAAAGTGGAAGCGATAGTTAACAGTATAACGAAAAATAAATCCTCTCGCAGGGATGACCTTCCACTATAATTTTACTTGCAGTATGGAAAACACTTATTCCCCCATTTGGTTAAAATATTTAACGAAACTACCGACGGGCAATTGTCTCGAGGCATGGTACATGACATCATCATCATCATGTATAAAACAGGAGATAAGTTGGAAATATGCAATTGAAGACATATCTCAGTACTCAGAGTATCATATAAAATATTGGTTAGGTTATTAGCAAACGGAGTAGGTACTGTCTCTTATACACATCTAGATGTGTATAAGAGACAGACCTTCCACTATAATTTTACTTGCAGTATGGAAAACACTTATTCCCCCATTTGGTTAAAATATTTAACGAAACTACCGACGGGCAATTGTCTCGAGGCATGGTACATGACATCATCATCATCATGTATAAAACAGGAGATAAGTTGGAAATATGCAATTGAAGACATATCTCAGTACTCAGAGTATCATATAAAATATTGGTTAGGTTATTAGCAAACGGAGTAGGTAGGTACCTACTAGACGTAATGGATTAGGATCATGCTGCCTTTGTTAAAGTCATATCCATGTTTGACAACATCGTTACCGAAATCAAGACACTCGAATGTCTAAATTAGGAGATTGTCGACATAGGAATCATGTTGCTGGACTTGGAGAAAGCTTTCGATAGATTGAATTTTGCCTATATGCTTACCACTCTGAAATTTATGTAGTTTGGTCCTAACTTTTGTCGCTGTGTATATGTCATATATGTGTCCTCTACAACATCGGTCTCAGTGAATGGACACATACCTTCCCCGTTTGCATTGACTGATTATTGAGGCAAAAAATTTTCATAACTCCTCTCATTTTCATGCTACTAGTGAAAGTTTTTGTCACCAACAGAAGGTACACCTTGATCTACGAGGATTATCGGTCTAATACCTAGACTTTCGGATCACAGTGTTTGCAGATGATCTAATGGCAAGTTTTGAAAACACACTGGAGTTCATGCAACCCTTCAAGTCATGTTTGGTGGAATATGCCACATGTCCGAAGCCGCGGTTAACTGGTCTAAATGAATATACTTCCACCTGGATGGATTTGCATTAATTTTCGAATGGGGAATAAAGCGAAACTCTAATAGTAATTTAGAGTGATATCTGGGTGTGCAGGTCACCCTCGGACAATGTGCAGATGCCCAAAATTACCTGTTCCAACAAATAATTGTACAACGAATCAATATTTCAAGTTAGGGTCAAACTCAACATTTATCTATGTTTGGGCGAGCCTTGGTGACTAATATGACTCTTTTGCTCTCCTGTAGTTTGTTGGAACATCTAGAGCACTGAGCAAAAAATTAGTTAAGGTGGTCTGACATATGGCAACAAAATTTATGTGAAAACCATTTGCGAAAGAGGAACCGTTTTTCATATTCAAGGTCGCTTGGACCTGATCTGCTACCCCTGGTCAGAGGGAGGTCTGAGGTTGCCAAACCCGGCCAGTCAAAACTCAGTTTTGTCAGATGGATAATTAAGGCAATCTCAAATACTTCAGACAACCATTGGATTTTTTTGGTTGAGCAATGTCTTAGCCCAAAACTTAAATTTGCAAACTCAAAGGCCTATGAACGTTTGGGCGTGTATTATGATAGAGTCGTATCTATATAGGTATATTGTAGCTCCCTTCTAGCATGATGTAGTGATGGCATGAAAAAAGGGAGGTCCCTGCCAGTGGGTCCCCCCAACCACCAGAGAGGAAGTCTCATTGCAACCAATCTTTTATAACCCCTCTATCTGCAATGCAGACGAACCCTCCTTCTCTGCAGGGAGCGCCCTAGACTCTTTCAGTAGGCAATGGGCGGAACGAGGTATGTTGCGTGTTATTCATCTGTGAACTGGTCAGTGAGAGTTGATGGAAGATCTCAAACAAAAGCTTCGAAGACCGGGTCATGTAGAAGAAAGGACGACTCTCTTGAGGGTCGTCGTACCCAGAGTGAAAACATTTGTTGACTCAACAAATATTCCTCTGGGACGTAGTTTTCGGTGGGACTACAAAAAACAAAAGCAAACCGAACAACTTGAATGATTTATTGGGAGTTGATCTCAATTGAAATCGACAATTGTAAATCCTTTCAGCGATGGATCAAACTTCCCTATTCAACTAAGTTGTCGTGTGATACAGAGAAGGTTGTTGTTTTCCCAAACAAAAAGTTGAAATAAGAATAAGGGAGGTTTGTAACAACGAGGGCGAGTGATCTTGTTCAACCTGGTGTAATGACATGCCTATCAAGCCTCTGAGACTAAATCTGAAGCCCTGGTCTTAGAGAGGTTCGATGAAATTTCTATCTAAATCTTAATAATGATTCACATATATCCGGCTCAACCTATGATTTGCTTAGGAATTCTTTATGGATTCCTAACGATATTTTGCGTTACACCCTCTCAAATAATTTATGCAAGGGTTTTTTTGATAAAAGGTGATTCAATTGGCTCAATCGCTTTGATAGACTCTTTAATTGGCCAATTGTGTTTAATTTTGCTTATACTTTCACCATTGGGAGTAGTTTGGAATCGGTGCTACTTTGGTTTTCTGCTAACTAGTATGTATATTAGATTTTTCTTATTTAGATGTATTTTTATTTTTATTTATATTTTATATATTTTGTTAATATAATTGTATATATTACGTAGTAATACAAATAAATTATATATATATTTTTATATATGGTTTTTATATTGTATCATTAAATTTTTATATTGTATATCTAGGTCAAGGATTTATAGTTACTCTCAATCATATATATCGATCAGCTATTACTCTTCAATATCCTTAGTACGATCTCCAACTTCCAGGGAAATCACCGCTTGATGTGGCAATAGGCATATGAATGCAGGTTAACATAACGGAAGACGAAGTTATAAATTAGAATATCAAACGGTGTTGGGCGCAATTGCAAAAGCTTCTGTTGCAAAGAGCGACGATAATTATTTGGCTACTCTCGATGATGACCACGTCTTGGGCAGTTTGGCTAGTCGAAAGGGGAATGAAAATTCTGATATAATGCACAAGATGTCGTTGGCTGTTCGAATCGACCGTGGATTTGTGGCTATCCTGCCCTCTATCCAGAAGAATATGGACTTGGTGGATTGAACACTGGTCTCGCATCAGTGGTCCATTGTTCCCCTGAAATGACCACTGGATCTTGTTCGGCGGCATCCTAGAAGGCTCTGTTTTTGACAACGGTTGGGGATATGTGGCCCAAGCCATCAGAGCATGCATATTGTTTATCATATGGGATGTAAGGAACAAGAATATATTCAAAGGGAGGTTCCTGTCTGTTCAATCAATCAAGTTGGTGATGAAGCTTCACATCCGGAGGAGTATCAAAAGTGATCGGAGACGCAAGGTATCCACCTCAAGGAGTAAAGCTGCAGGCTTGACTTGGTTTGCAGAAACCTGGACGATCTTGGGAATGTTGGCCAAGATCCAGGAAGGTTAGTTGGTGTTGGACTATTGTATGGTAAGCATGGATTAAATACCTGGGCACTCGGTGGATCCCGGTAGTAGGAGGGAAGCAGAACGCGGTATGTGGGTTAGGATTAGGAGTGAGTGCCGTTGTTCCCGCAGGAGCCGCAGCTCCAATAGGTCAAGCCTGGGCCGTTCTTATTGGAACTGGTCTAATCTCGTCTTTGCAGTCAGTATTTCCAGGGGGTTGGTCCCCTCGGGGTATGGTCCCACCCCGTAGGCGAAACTGGGTAATGCTCCCGCCCTCGAACTGTTTTATGGAAATATAGGCCTTGGGCACTGGGCGCGTGTTTTTTGAGGGAGGAAAAAAAGAAGGAAAAAAAAGCGCCCCGCCGCTGCTCAGACGGCGGAAGTGGAACATGCAATGAACGAAAAATTGGGCGGGAGTCCTTCGGGACATCTGTTAAAATTCGAACGATACAGAGAAGATTAGCGTGGCCCCTGCGCAATAAAAAAGAAAAAAAGAAAAATTGGGCGGGGAAGCAAGCAGAACTTGCAGCCCTCAGAATCTGGCCAAATTTCGAGCGAATCTTTTCTTCCTCTTCGCAATATTATTCTTCGTTTCGGACCGTAGATTACGCACCGGACCGCATCCACGGCCAGGAACAGAGAAAATGCGGCAAAGAAGTGGCGCCTTGCCCATAACTCCGCCTCTCTCTCTCAGTGGAAAGCACACAAAAAACCCCTCTCCACTGGCTCTGACCGAAAAAAAAGAAAAAAGGGTTTCATCACAGAGATGGACGGCCAAGATTGAACAGACCCAGAAAGGCGGGAGGCGGAATCGGGATCGAGTAGGCCTCCGCTCTCTTACCGCCAGCTTTGTCTCTGGTCCAGCGGGGGATGAAGCTCTGCTACTACCGATCGGGCGAGGAATGAAGTCCTGCTGCTACCGGTCGCGGCTGACGTACTACTTTCCGACCATTGGTCGTTCCTGGCCGTCCGATGGGAAGATCGTGTGGCCCTAGTTTAGCCACGTAGTACACTCGTCAAAAATTCCTGGATCGAGCTCCGGTCGCTCTGTGTGTTCCATCCCCCCTCTGAGTTCTCTCCCCTCCTCCGGTCCGCCTCCCTCCTTCTCCTCCCTCCTCCTCCCTCCTCCTCCCTCCTCCTCTCTCACACTCTCACCCTCTCCTTCAATCCGTTCGTTATCCCGCCGGTGGATATAGGGCGCAGGAGGGCGCTGTAGGAGCGTACTCGTGAGTTTTACCGACGATAGTGAGCGGCGAGGTTGTGCTTATGTGAGGGAGGCAGCGGAGGAGCAGGAGGAGAGGGCGGAGGTGGTCGGGCTATCTTGCGACTTTCGCCGGCCGACCGGTCTGCCGATCTCGAAGCTGCGCTTGACGAAGGCAGACTGAGAGGAAGGAGAAGAAGACGAGATGGCTCCCGCCCCCAAGCGTGTGCTTGTTACCGGAGCTGCAGGTGAGGAAGACAATGGTTAGCTTGCTGGCTATGGCGGCGTCCACTGGCTATGGCTGCTTCCGCTTGGCTATGACTGCTTCCACTGGCTAGGACTGTTTCCACTGGCTTTGGCTGCTTCCACTGGCTAGGATTGTTTCCACTGGCTGTGGCTTCTTGAGCTGGCTATGGCAGTTTCCACTGGCTATGACTGCGTCATTTGGCTATGGCTGCTTCCACTGGCTATGGCTGCGTCTACGGGCTATGGCTGCTTCCACTGGCTATGGCTGCTTCCTGGCTGCGTCATTTGGCTATGGCAGCTTCCACTGGCTATGGCTGCGTCATTTGGCTATGGCTGCTTCCACTGGCTATGGTCGTTTCCACTGGCTATGGCTGCGTCTACGGGCTATGGCTGCTTCCACTGGCTATGGCTTCTTCCACTGGCTATGGCTGCTTTCACTGGCTATGGCTGCTTCCACTGGCTATGGCTGCTTCCTTTGGCTATGGCTGCTTCCTGACTGCGTCATTTGGCTATGGCTTCTCCCACTGGCTATGTCAGCCTTATTTGGCTATTCCACTGGCTATGGCTGCTTCTACGGGCTATGGCTGCTTCCACTGGCTATTGCTGCTTCCACTGGCTATGGCTGCTTCCACTGGCTATGGCTGCCTAGATCTGTAGGGATGCCGAAGTACTTGTCTTGTTGCTACAACCGGATTGGAATTTGCGTGATGCCTCTACACCACTGGCTTGCTTACTGTTATGTTGTGTTGATCGGATCTGGTCGTTAAAAGCGTTAAGGGCCGCATGCATGCACACGAGGACTTTGTCCAGCGAATCTGGCCATGCATGGGGTCTACATTCATTCACGAAAGTTATTGTTATTGTTGTTAATTTTGTATGTGTTTCTGAATAACATGTTTCGTGCACACTGGCTTTTTCTTTTTTTCTTTTGTCTTTTATTTTATTCACGAAAGCTATTGTGTGAATGCGTCGTCAATAGTCTAGGGCTGCATGCACAGGGCGACTTTGTCCAGCGGATCTGGCCGTGCTAGGGTCCACATTCATTCACGAAGGTTATTATTATTGTTATTATTATTATGTATTTCTTTGTAACGTGTTTATTGCACATTGCTTTTTTTTTTGTTTCACGAAAGCTATTGTGTGAAGTGCGTCGTCTAGGGCCGCATGCACACGAGGACTTTGTCCAGCGAATCTGGCCGTGCTAGGCGTTCAAGTTCATTCTCGAATGTTATTATCATGACTATGGTGTTTCTTCATTATGTGTTTCGTGTACGTTGCTTTTTTTTTTTTTTTTTAATAGCAAACCTATCGTGTGAATGTGTCGTCAAAATTCTACGGCCCCCCCACTTCCTCCCCCCCCCCCCAAAAAAAAATAAAACTAAAAAAATCTACGGCCCTGTTGAATGTCTCGTTGATAAATCAGGATGTGGCGAGTGATCAGCTAAACCGGCTTTGCCCGCATGCAACGAGGACTTTGTCCAACGAATCCGGCCGCGAAAGGGGTCCAAATTCATTCATTTAAGTTATTACTACTATTATTTATTATTACTATTATGGCCGTCAATTTTTTTTTTTTTTTTTTTTTTCCAACTATTGTGTGTTTCGTGCACATTGCCTTTTTTTGCTAGGGCGTGTCGTCAGAAGTCTAGGGCCACATGCACACAAGGACTTTGTTCAGCGAATCTGGCCGTCCTGGGGGTCCCGATTCATTCACGAAAGTTATTGTGCGAGTGCGGTTAAAAGTCTTATCTTCTTTTGAAAAAAAGTTCTTGCGGATGGCGTTAACACGTCTTATCTTCTTAGTGTGTCGTCAACACTAATTGATTGGACGTGGACGTGAATCTTGCCGTCGTTCGCGTCCGTATACTTTCACGGCAGATTCAGATGCCGAGTGTGCCCGGCGTTTCGTATTCCTCCATATACTTCTCCGTACACCCTCGCAAACGCAAACGCTAGTCGAGTGCTGTGTGAATGCTACCGTCTTTCGAGTCCATATACATTCACGGCAATATTCAGCCGGCGACTATGCCCGACGTTTCCTTGTACTCTTCTTACGTCGTCCTTCTTGTCCTCTTCCTCCTCCCTTCCTCCTCATCTTCTCCTCCTCCTCTCCCTCCTCTCTCGCCTCTCCCTCCTCTCCCTCCTCTCCCTCCTCTTCCTCTCTGCCTCCTCTTCCTCCTCCTCCTCTTCCTCCTGTTCTTCCTCTTCTTTCTCCTCAACTTCCTCTCCTCCTCCTCCCAACCCCCCATTGCCCTGCCGCTGCTCCCTTCGCTGTCTATTTACTCGTGCAGGACTTGTCTCGTGCGCAGGTTCTTCTCCTCTCTTCTCCGCCTCCTCCTCCTCCTCCTCCTCCTCCTCCTCCTCCTCCTCTTCTTCCTCCTCCTCCATTGCCCTGCCGCTGCTGTCGTCGCTACGTCTACTTACGCCTCGACGGGACTTGTCTAGTGAAGGACGGACGGGAGCACGTTTTTCCCTTCTTCTTTTTGTACTGTATTCACAATAGCAACAATGTGAACGCATCTGACCGGCATGGTGTCCACATTCGGCGGAGATTCTCTGCAGCTTTACGATCTGTAGGGAATGGCGGTCCACCCCACTGGCACTTCACTTTTTTTTCTTTTTTCTTTTTTCCTTTTTCCACCGACCTGGTCTGTGTATATGCTGTGCTTCTCTCTTCTAGTATGTACGTTTCCTCTTTCTCACCCCCCCCCCCCCCCCCCCCCCCCTCTTTTTCCTTTTTCTTTGTTTCCTTTTTTTTTTTTTTTTTTTTTTTTTTAGTTTGTTTATCAGGAACATCTTTGTCCCTCCACTGAGTGTGCTTATACTGGAAGAAATACGCCGTGTCGAGATATGGGATCCCGACTGACCTAAGGACCTGTCAAACAAGCCAGCCGAGCGGGTTGTAGGGAGAAGAGGGGTCATGACTGACCCAAGATCCCGACTGACAAGAGGACGACCAGTCAGGAGAGCAGAAACAGAAAGTTAGAAGTCTTCTCTCTGCTCGTCTTTTTTTTTTTTTTTTTTT